GTGTACGCAGGTCAGTGCTGAACCCGGGGCTGGGCGCGGAGGGAGGGAGGGAGGGACGCCCGGGATCAGCCGAGCGCCGCCTTAGGGCAGAGTCAAGCCAGTGGGCCGCAGAGGCCGGCAACGCGGGTAGGCTGGGGGCTGACGGCCTTGGGGTCAATGCAGGGCCCCTGCAGATGGCGGGGGCGGCAGTGTGGAACCCCTCTCGGTGGTGTCCAGACCCACAGCTCACCCGCTCATTGGAGCCCCAGTCTCCGGCCAGCCTCAGCGCGGGGAGGCGAGGCCCTCGCCGCTGGGGGTCAGCCTCCTTAGACTCCCGGGACAGCCTTTGGTCTGTGAGCCTGTGCTCTTGTCCCGCCTGTTTGTGTTCACGTGCGTGTCTTTACGGCCACCTCGCCATGGAAACTGAGTCATTTTAGCCCAGAACCAGTGACGAACATTGACTTGGTCCTTGAGAAAACAGGCAGGGGAGGGCAGAGGGGCCGGCCTCCTGACCCGCCGTGGGTGCCGCTGCCCACGCCTTTTTTTTTTCTGCCTAGGCCTCTTCTTCTTCACGCTGCTCTTCTACTCGCTGGCCATCGGGGCTGTGGCGCTGCTCTTCCTCTTCTACACGCAGCCGGGCGCCTGCCACGAGGGCAAGGCCTTCATCAGCCTCAACCTCACGCTCTGCGTCTGCGTCTCCATCGTCGCTGTCCTCCCCAAGGTCCAGGTGAGCTGCCGTCTCTCGCCCTAGGCCAGACCCTTAGTGGGAGGGACCTCTCCGAGGGGCCTGGTCCTGGGGCTGGCCCGTCACCTCCGCCACCGGGGTCTTGGCCCACACCGACATGCGGGGTGTCTGGGCACGTGCCCCTCTCCTCCAGCACGAATGGGGGCAGGAACACCTCCTCCCTGGGCGTCACTCTTGGGGTTGAGAGCCCTCCTGCCAGTGCCGAGCGCGGGGCTGGCGCGAACATCCAGCCAAACGTTGGTTGTTGCGGTAGGCTCCGCTGTCCTGGGTGTCTCTACGCAAAGCAGGGCGTTAGGGAGTTGCAGGTGGTCCTTCCTGGGCGCAGGCAGTGGTGCTGGAAGGTGAGCTGGTTCCAGTTTCCAAGCCCAGACTGACTGATGGGGGGTTCCTGCAGCAAGCGCTCTGCTCCGAGAAGTGTCCCTAGGCCACCTCGTGGCCCAGCAGTGCTTCACAGCTTGCGACCTCGGCACTCCAGGGCTTTCAGAGGTAGCATAGGTAGGTTTGGGGGACTTAGCAGAAAGGTGGGAAGCTTCCTTCTGGTCAGAGCCTCCCTTTCCTAGGGAGAAGGATGAAGCCCAGAGAGGGTGACGTCTCTACCTCAGGTCACACAGCCCTTAGCATTCATTCTGCAAATACCTCTTAAGAGCCTGCTGTGGGGCCGGCAAGTGGCATGGTGGTTAAAGGCACTGGACTCCCACATGGCCGACCATGGTTCAAGTCTTGGACCTGGTCGCTTGCCTTCTCACTTCCTCTCTCTCTCTCTCTCTCTGTGTGTCTCTGATCAAACTGGAAAACAAGAACAATAATAAAAATAAATAAAGTTAAATAAAATAATTCTTTTAAAAAAAAACCTGCTGTGGGCCAGGGCCTCTGGAAACTGTGGAGCTGGCCACGAGGAAAAGGAGGAGGGACAGTCGCAAGGGCAGGTGAGTCCGCCTCCGATGACAGCTGTGGGAACCTGTGGGAACCGGCGTGGCTCGGGGGCAGGTGGCTGGCAGGGCAGGGCTCTGCATCCGGAGTGCTCAGGGCCTCGCTGGGAGGCCTCCTCGAAGACCCCCCGCTGGGGTACGGGGAAGGAACGTGTCCTGGGCGGGGACAGCCAGTGCCCACACGAGGTAGGAGCGGGCGGCTGTCTCTGCAGGAGGGGCGGAGGGCGCCAGGGGAC